TAGGAAGCTGTTAAGCTTTGCACCCATCTCACTATTCATCTTGTGGATGGTAGAACCTGCACAGTTAGATTTTGTCAAGAGTTTCAAAAGGATTGAGTCTTCCAAGTATGAAATCACACACAAAGGATTGAAGATGATTCTTATTGCTGTTTCTGTCAAAACTTAAGAATACAAGAGTTTCGGTGTCAAGGATTGCGGATCCCCTTTTTGAGGGAGTTACATTAATATTTATAGCAAACTAGGTCAGCTAGGTAACCCTAGAGAAAATAGGAAGCTTTCTTATCCTTTAGAAGTTTTCTTTCCATGAAGTCGGCCACTCCTAGTGGGGTGCGCCGACCTACTCGGCCCACCTCGTCATGCCTTGGGTTCGGCCCACCTCGTTCATCACGGGCTGCACCTCGTCACGGGCTTCATGCTTCTGTAAACCCACTTCTCCATTACGAATTTGTCTTTGCCGCTAAGTAGTGTTCTTGGTCTTGCCATGCTTGGCGCTCTAGTCTTGTCATTTCGACAGCACCGTCGTGCAGTCCGTCACAGGTCACCTTGTCGCCAAGTCTATCTTGCTGGACTAGTCACCTTGTCACGCAGTCTGCCATGCTAGACAAGGCAGCTCGTCACCTAGTCTGTCCTACCATACATGTCACCTTGTCACGCAGTCTGTCATGTCAGACAAGGCAACTCGTCGCCCAGTCTGTCCTGCCAGACATGTCACCTTGTCATGCTAGATAAGGCAGCTCGTCACCCAGTCTGTCATACCAGACATGTCACCTTGTCACGCAGTCTGTCATGCCAGATAAGGCAGCTTGTCACCCAGTCTGTCCTGCCATACATGTCACCTTGTCACGTAGTCTGTCATGCCAGACAAAGCAGCTCAACACCCAGTTTGTCCTGCCAGACATGTCACCTTGTCACGCAGTCTGTCATGCCAGACAAGGCAGCTTGTCACCTAGTCTGTCATGCCAGACATGTCATCTCGTCATGCATTTTCCATACTTAACCATTTTGTGGCTTTGATTTTACAGGAGTGGAATCCGACCCCTACACACCTCACAAAAACTTCTTCTACTATGCATCCTAACAAAACCTCCCTCATCTCTTAGTACCCAAACGGCACCTCCATTGCCATTGCGCTTGTCCCAAGAGGAGGCAAAGTTACATTTGAGCCACAAAGCTCGTGGAGGCTTCCACCTTTTCTTTTTCCTTCTGTTTGAACTCAGACAACCAGATTTATCTTTGAAATAAAATGATTTC